ATCCTTGGCTGTTTCTCGGACAACTGTCCAAACAAACTCCTCCATCATGGAGCTGAAGAGGGGCCAAGGAAGTGACAGAAGTAGAAATAAGTTATGTTTCAATGATTCAATAAATTCAGGATCTCATCCACGAACCTTTTGATATCCTCTATGTTTTTTTTTTGATTCTTTTCCATGCCCTTCGATAAATCATCCATGTAGGATCTACTCAATGTGCTACAGCAATGTGCTAGGGGCTTTCTTCTGGGCATTTGGATGTTTTGGGGATGCCATCAGCAACTTTTGGGCTATTCATCTGTTAAACATCATTCAACACAACTGCCCCAGTAGTACTATTACATTACATTTACCCTAATTTATTATGTCTTTAATACTAATTCTTGCATGCCAGTGTTGTTAGCATTTTGTTCAGTCATTTTTTTCAGTTGTGCCTGATAGTGACCCCATTTGGAGTTTTCTCGGCAAAGATACTGGAATGGCTTGCCATTTCCTTTTCCAGCTCCTTTTACAGATGGGAAATTGAGGCTAACAGGGTTAAGTGACTTGTCTAGGTCACACAGCTAGTAAGTGTCTAAGGCCAGATTTGAACTCAGGAAGACGAGTCTTCCCGACTCAGGATTGGCACCCTATTCACTGTACCACCTACCTGTCTGTTGTTACCATATTACCCTATTTCAAAATTTCCAGGAAGGTCTACTGGTTACTAGAGGTCTAGTAGTCATTGGTGTAGTAGAAAAAGAAAAAGATTTGGAGTCAGAAGACCTAGGTTCAAATTCTGACCCTGCTATGTACTCTCCCAGTGACTTGGGGCAAATTACTTCACCTCTCTGAGACTCAATTTTTTCATCTGCAAAAAAAGGGGGTGGTAGGAGAGACTATGGACTAGATTATCTCAGGGGTCCCTTCTAGCTCTAAATCCTATCATCCAACAACTTTCCCTATTTTCATGTGCTCCCTGGTTGGGTGGGGGGGTGGTATGATGGAAATTGGTCACCTATTTGTACACTTATAGGGTATTTGCAAGTTAAGGTAGTCATTCAGAGTGAGAAATACTTTGTGGAGGGATAATGAAAAATCAAAGGTTAGACTTATCAGTTTGGGTAAAAATTCTAGTGTAGGCATTAGATGAAGACTTCTCGATTATTCTGAATTTCTCTCCCCTCATTCCTCACCACCCCCCTCCCCAAATTACCTTGTATTTATTTTGCTTATATTTTGTTTATGGTATTGTTTTCCCAGAAAGAATTCAAGCAACTTGTGGGCAGGGATCCTCTCACTTTTGTCTTTATATTCCTAGTACCTAGTATAGTCCCTGGCACACGGTAGGAGCTCAATAAATTCTTATAAAATAATTGATGGTTGGAATTATAGCATTGAAGAGACTCTTCTGTGGTGTGGTTTGTGTGTTCTATATGCCTATTGGACTGAATGGGATTTCAGATAAAGATTTACCGTTCTAAGGAATATTGGTGTAGTGCAAACATTGGAAACCAGCTGGAAGCCTCTGGTACTTGGCTATGTGAAAAGGAAGTCTGTGTTTCTAGAAAATTTCCTTCAGGAAAAGACAAGGTGCATTGGCTGTGATCAGAGGTCTAGGGCAGATGTGTGTTCTTGGCCTCTGCCATATTGTGATGTATCAGCATAAGGGACTGAGCTATACCATGCCTCCTCCCAGCAGCCGTGTTGATGAGGTTATGAGTCTGGACTCACACCAAGATGAATCTTTGGAAGAAGACTTCAGTGGAGGGAGATCTCCGTGATCCTGAATTCAAATCCAGCCTGAGATACACACTAGGAATGTGGTCTTAGGCAAGTCACTTAACCTCTGTCTGCCTCAGTTTCTTCATCTGCAAAATGGGTATAATAATAGCACCTACCTCTTAGAGTTTTTGTGAGAATCCAATGAGATGATATTTGTAAAAAGTGTGTAGCATAGTGCCTGGCACACAGCAGGTGCTATATAAATGTTAGCTATTATTGCATCATTTTTATTTCTGTTACGTGTCTCAGTTATCTTATTAAATCATTATAAAGTCCATGTGTGGAAGAGCTTTGTCTTCATCATCTTTATTAACCCCGAGTGGTTTGGAATCATATTTCCCTGAATTTCTGACATAGTCTGATTTGCAGAAAACATACTTTTAACAGGCCTCACTCTAATCCAATTCACTTGCAAGTCAAGATATCACCCTCCTGATGTCATAGATCAGCTTCAAGAATGAAGGACGAACAACACTAGCAAAAGAGTATCCATCCTTTGTCCTCATGAGTCCTGAAGATTGGCTTAGGGGGGCAGCTAGGTGGTGGAGTGGATAGAGCACTGGCCCTGGATTCAGGAGGACCTGAGTTCAAATCTGGTTTGAGACACATAACACTTACTAGCTGTGTGACCCTGGGCAAGTCACTTAACCTCATTGCCTAGCCAAAAAAAAAAAAAAAAGATTAGTTCAGGAAATAACATAGGCACTGGGCAAAGAATGGGCACTCAGTGAATGTGGATTGAATAAATGAGTTTGAAACTGGGCTCCTGCCTATGTTTCTAGAATTCTTTCACAGTATTGTCCTTCACATACACACACCATGTTTCAGTCACATTGGCTTACCTGTTGTTCCCATTGAAGTCACCAAGTATTAAAATATCTATTGATACAACTCAGAGGATCCAGACAAACTGGCCTGCAATCTATCTACCACCTTTGTGCATTTGCACAAACTGCATCTGGGTTCCTGGAATACACTGTCTCTTCTTTTAGAATCCTTTGATTTCTTCAAGGCTCAGCTCTGGTTGGTTATTGGTGATTAGCCCCCTTTGCTTTCCCTCTCTTCTAGTTATCATGAGTTTACTTGTCTCCTTCAGGGGTTGTAGAAATAGTCCCATAAATGGAAGGGGATTCCAGAATTAGAAGACAAGCCACCAGCAGAGGAAGTACACAGTTATCTCTTTAACTTCTTTCAAGGTGTTTTATCTCCCAGTGTTGAAATGTGAACCCATTGAGGGCAGCAACACTTTTGTAGCATTTACTATGTACCAGGTATTGTGCTAAGCACTTTTTATCAGTATTATCTTATTTGATCCTCACAAAACGATCCTAGGAGGTAGGTGCTTCTCTGGCCCCCATTATATAGTTGAAGAAACCAAGGCAGAGAGGGGTTAAGTGACTTGCCCAGGCAAGTTTCTTATCCTCTCTGAGCCAAATGGGAAAAATCATAGCACTTACCTCCCTGCTTGGAGAGAGGATACAAAAAGACAGGCTAAGTAAAGTGCCTTGCAGACCTAAAAACGCTGAGTGAGTTATTATTGTTATTTCTGGCCCCCTGTGGGACTTTTTTGTTCTCATGGAAGGGGTTCAAACATCAGGTTTCCTTCTGAGGTCCCTTCCATCTCTCGAATCAGGGAGCTGGACCAGATTGCTTCCAGCGTCTCTCCCAGCTCCAGCTCATGGAATTATGGACAAGTAGACTACAAGGAAGCCATCTGGTCCAACCCACTCATTTGGTAGATGAGGAAACTGAGGCCCAGGAGGATGGAGTGAGGAGCCCAGGGTCACACAGGTGTTGTGTCAGAGGTGAGATTTGAACACTGGTGCTCTCCTAAAGGCAGTTCGCTCATCTGGGAGGCTTGGACTCTCAAGGCCCCTTTAGCTCTACATCTGTGACTCTATGATAGCACAGTGCCTGGCCCACAATAGACACCTAATAAATGTTTACTGAATGAATGAATAGGTGGACGGATGGATGGATGGATGGATGGATGGATGATAGAGTTAGTCCAAAATCCCCTTATTGGATGGATGGGGAAACTGTGCCAAGAAAGGTGACGTGATTGGTACAGGGTCACAACGGTGGTTAGGCATCAATCAACTGATCCATCAATCAGCATTTATTAAACACCTACTACATGCCAGGTATTGTACTGCATGCAAAAGACAGCGCCTGCCCTCGAGGAGCTCACAGTCGAATGGATCAGAGGTGGCATTTGAACCCAGAATTTCTGCCCCCAGAACCTCCAGCTTTGACCCGTGGTTCCCCTCCTGGGCCTCAGTTTCCCCAGGTGTTCGAGCAGAGCGGGCACTGGCGCCCCGCAATACGTGCCCAGCTGCAGCCGCGCTCGCAGTCTCGCTTGGGGCCGGGGGGCGGGGCGTCGGCGCGGAGGCCCCGCCCCCGGCCCAACCTCCCAGGTGCGCTTCCGGCCGCCCCGGGGCCCTGGCCCCGCCCAGAGCCTGTGGGGGCGCGCCGGGGCGCGGGGCCGCGCCGGGCGGCGGCGGGGACGAGGACGGCGGCCCGGGGAGCGTGCGCGCGGTGACGTGCCGGGCGCCATGTTGGGGAGCTGATTGTGGGCGCTCGGGAGGTCCTCTGTCGCTCGCTCGCCTCTCTCGCCGCCGGTGCCACCGTCGCTTCCGTGTGTGTGTGTGTGTGTGTGTGCGTGTGTGTGTGTGCGTGCGCCTGTGTGTGCGGGTGTGTGTGCGCGTGGGTGGGTGTGGGTGTGAATGTTTGAGGGCGTGAGTGTGAGGGCGAGTGTGCGCGCGTGTGTGTGCGTGTGAGAGAGGGGGCCGGGACGGCGCAAGTGTGCGCGCGTGTGCCTGCGTGTGTGCGGCCTGCGTGGGGGCGCGCGTGTGAGGGCGGCGGGGGGGCGGCGGCGGCGTTCCGGGCCCGGGGACTCGGGACTCCGCGGAGGGAGGCGGCGGCGGCGGCGGCGGCGAGGGACGCGGGCCACCATGGACATGGAGAGGCTGCAGGAGGCACTCAAAGGTGGGGGTCCGGGGAGGGGGCTCCCGGCGCCGACCCTCCCCTCCCCCACCGGGCCCGGGCCCCGGGGCAGCCCCGCCCCGCTCGCCGGGGGCTTTGTGTCAGGAGCCGGCGGGGGGGGTGGCCTGGACCTCTCCTTCCCCTCCCCCCCGAAACCCAGGATGGGGGGAAGGAGGAAGAAGGAAAAAAAAGGGAAACCGAGCCGTCTCCCGCCCCCCACTTGTTGACCTCTTTGTAGACGGACGGCCGTGAACTTTTCGGACGGCCCGGCACCTGGAGAGTTCTGCCCCTGTCCCGGCCCGGGCCCGGGCTGTGTCACTGGAGCCGCGGGGTTCTCACGTTCCAAGCCGCAGGCTGTAAATTCGGGTTGCTAGGGAGAGGGGGACAGGGTGGGGTGGCACCCCGGGGTCCCTCCCTAGAGCCGTGGAAGTCGTCCTGGGGGCTTGCTTGGCCGTGGATTTTTTGCTTCTTTTGAATGACAGTGGGAGGGACTTGGGGAAAAGTTTCTGATTTGAAGGGGGAGTTGGGGTGGACGGGATCGGGATGGTTAAAGGGGGAAAAAAAATACTGCTTAATTTTTAAGGTATACGTACTACTAACTTTTCTTTTTCTTTTTCAATCTCCTGCGCAGATTTTGAGAAGAGGGGGAAAAAGGAAGTTTGTCCAGTGCTGGATCAGTTTCTTTGTCACGTAGCCAAAACGGGGGAGACGATGTGAGTTAAAAAAAATTTTTTTTAATTGATGAAGAGGAATAGACTTGGAACTTATTCTTAAGTTAGAGTTGGAGAATTAACCAAACACTCAGAAAGTTAAACACTTAAATTCCCTCACTTTATTCCAGCTTTTAAAAATTGTTATTTAGCTGTGAAGCATGTCTGAGTTTCATAATTGATTTTAGGTGTCTTCTGTAATGTTTCTAATTTTTTCTTCTAGGAGCTGGTCACTACATTATGTCCCATTTATTTTAGTTTAGACTGTTAGAGCATCTTGGCTTAGTGGGCCCAAGGGCTGGCCCAGGAGTCAAGGGAAGAGTTGGTTTGAATGCTACTTTAGATACCTCTGGGTTGTGTGGTCCAGAGCCAGAGACTTAACTCTTCAGTGCTCTAGGCAGCTTCCTTTGGATTGTCACTTGTGTCTTGGTGGGGCTTCTTTCCTGAATGGGGGAAGAGTTTCTGCTTTAGGATTTCCCCACACTGATGATTAAATTAGGGGTCCTGAAACAAAAAACCTGTTAAAGCTACATCAGTGGGGAAAAAAAATGCACTAAAATTCTTCTGGCTGTAATATGAAGAATCTCTTTATTTTAATTTTGTGATTCTGATTGTGTCTTTTATGGATATCATTTTCTTCAAACTTGTGTCCAACCTGGTGTAATTTTCTAAATGTGTGAAGCCCCATTTCTGTTGACTTTTTTGTTGGGTTGGGGGCAGAGACTTATTAGTGCCATTTGCTCCTGTTTCATGTGTCCTAGAAACTTTTTAGGATAACTGACTAACTCAGCACTTTATTGGACACTTGGCCTGAAAGTCACCTTCATCTTAAGAGTTAAAGGATGTTTTTATCAGTACCCTCTGTGTTTGGTGTTGATGTGTGAGACAAGGATTTGTTTTTGTGCCCTACCTAGGTTAATCTCTGGAAAGCTGAGCTACATTGATGACTTCCTTGTTGTCTCACTTTTTGGCAGGAAGGGGAAAAATTTCTTTGGGTGCCATGCTAGGGAATAAGCTCTCTTTCTGGCTCCCTACTCATCTCTTGATTTGAGGCCTAGTACAGCATTATAAGCTTCAGCAAGTGTGACACAACTTTTATCAAGTTGTGATTTCATGAAGGATTTGTTCGTACTTGTATGCTGTATTGTTAACAAGTTTAATCTCAATGTTAAAAAAAACAAACCCTGATGCTTAAATTAATGGACTTGTTCTAAAAGATTAACCTTTCCAGTATTCTGCTAAAAATGTACCAGTGAGCTGAAAGGTGACTATCATTTTCCATTTAAAAAAATGTACTTTGAGAAAAATATTTGCATTAAATGCTAATGCCTATGTTGGTCTCTGTGTGCACTGTAATTTTGAGGAATAATGAAAAGTAAATATACAATAACTAGATTTTTTACTATTTTAGTTGCAGACAAGCCTAAAAATTATTAAAGTTTTGTTTGCTTAAGTACATTGATTTCTAAAATATCACTATACAGGTTCACATTTTTAATTCTTATAATTGACTGACTGGGTATGTCAAACATCTTTATCTCAGCCGGACATTCAAAGGAAAGCAGTGGCATGTTTCATGTTCCCAAAACTTCTGAAAGTTTCCAATAGATAAGTACTACTAATACCATCTGTGAGTAAATATATACGGAGACCAATAAACCCATGTGAATAACAGATGGTATTCTTTGAATTTTTAAATTTATAAATATGATAAAGAGGCCAATAGGCAGTTCTTTGAAAATTTGTTTTACTGACTCACCAGTTGAATATGCGTATTTACTTGGAAGTTATTCTTTAGCCCTAATGGGGAATTTAAATTAATTTATTTACCACAATAAATATTTGTGAAATATGAACATCTGGAGTTGAAATAATGAGTATTTTAAAATCTATTCGTTCTGAGATTTTAGAACACATTTTGTCTTCTTACCACACAACTAAGACATGTTTATGCTTTTATGTTTATGCTTTTAGCTTAGCATTTAATTAATTTTTTATCCAGAGTGGGTATGGATTAACTTTTAGTAGTGAAAGAGAAACTAAAATATTTGTATACGTTTTCCTCTGTACGTTTTATGATTGTCTAGTTTTGTCAGGTTTCTGATACTTGCAGAATTGCAAGAATGGCAATTCAGTTTTTGAATGTAGTTTATGTGAGATGGGAGAATTTTCAAACTTTTGATCATTGGTATTTTCATTAAGACATAATAAGAAAGGGGATGCAGGATGCCATAAAAACAAGAGATTAGTAAAAAAAAAAAAAAAAAGCTTATGAATGAAATTCAGAAATTATTAACTTTCCATCAACTTTTAAAGGTCACTTTTTTTATTATAATTGACTTTTTCATTGTGTTTTAATATTTTACAGTGTGCTTTACCTATATTATCTTACTTGATCCTTAAAATAAGCCTGTGAAGTATTACTGTTTCCTGTTTTACGAATTGTCAAAGTCTTGGAGGTTAAATGCCTGCTATGTGCCAGGTATTATGTTAAGTGTTGGGGATACAAAAAGGGCAAAAGACAGTCCCTGCCCTCCAGGACTCGTAATCTAATATGGGAGACAATAAGCAAACAAAATATGTTCAAATAACCTATATGTAAGATAAGTAGATGACTAAAAGAGGGAAAATTACTAGAATTAATTAATAGAGGTTTGGAAAAGTTCCCTATTGAAGATGGGACTTTAGTTGGGTCTTGAAGGAAGCCAGGTAAACCAGTATAAGATGAGGAGCATTTCAGGCAGGGGGGACAGCTAGAGAAAATGGCGGATTTTCTTTTATGATATAGCCAGGAAGCCAGTGTCATTGGATTAAAGAATATGTGTCAGGGATTAAGGTGTAAGAAGATTGGAAAGGCAGGAGGGGACTAGGTTATGAAGGTCTTTGAAGGGCAAACAGCTTTTTGTATTTTCTCCTGGAGGCAGTAGGGAGCCACTAGAGTTAGGGACTTGACTGGGTCAGACCTGCACTTTAGAAAAATAACTTTGGTGGCTGAATGGAGAATGGATTGGAGTGGGGAGAGATTTGAGGCAGACGGGGCCTCCCCTCTTTCTCCTCCCCCAAGCTATTGAAGGTAGTATAGGTGTGAGTGATAAGGCCTGCACCAGGATGGTGTCAGCGTTGGAGTAGAGAAGTTCACAGAACAAATCCCTTAAAAGTATGTGCTCTGTGAAACTTGGACTCAATAAAAAGGCTGCACCCAAGGACCTAGAAGGCCACAAGTGGCCTCAAGGCGGAAGGTTCCCCACCCCTGGTATAAAGTATAAAGGGAGAAGACAATACGGCCCAGAACAGAACCCTCAACTACTGTTAGAGGGGAAGGTCTGGCTGGATGAGGATCCAGCAAAGGAGACTTGAGAAAGAGGCATCAGATAGGTAGGAGGAGACTTGGGAGAAGCTGTTGTTGCAAAAACCTAGGGAGAAGAGAGTGTCAGGGAAGAGAAGATGATCAGTAGTGTCAAAGGCTGAAGAGAAATTGAGAATGAGAATATAGAAAAGGTCATTGAATTTGTGAATTAAGAGATCATTGGTGACTTGGAGAGAGCATTTTGGTGGAATGATGAAGTCAAACTGGATTGTAAAGGGTTAAGGAGAGAGTAAGAGGAGAGAAAATGGAAGCATCTATTATGGATTAGATAGCCTGTTTTTTTTTAATCCCCGCAATTTATTATTTTTTTTTTGGATTTAAAAAAGTTCCAGTATTTTCTAAATTCCAATATTAAGTTCTAAATTCTCTCCCTCCTGCTCCACCTCCACCCATTAAGAAGACAAGAAATGTCATATCAATTTTACATGTGAAATGTGAAACACTTCCCCATTAACCATGTTTTGGGGGGAAAAATAAAGTGAAAAAATTATAGTTCAGTCTGCACTCAGACTCTCACGGTTGTTTTTGGAGGTGGGTAGCATATTTCAGTATCTGTCTTTCAGAATTGTCTTGGATCATTATGTTGATTAGAAAAGCTAGTTGATTATTGTACAGTATTGCTGTTACTGTGTATAATGTCTCCTGCTTCTACTCACTTCAATTTGCCATTAGTTTATATGTCTTCCCAGATTTTTCTGAAACTACCCCCTTGTCATTTCTTATAGCACAGTAGTATTCCATCGCAGTCATATACCACAACTTGTGCCCCCTTTCCGCAATTGATGAACATCCCCATGATTTCCAGTTCTTTGCCACCATAAAAAGTGCTGCTATATTTTTCTCCTTATAAATTTTCTTCGATCTCTTTGGGATACAGACCTAGTAGTGCTATTGCTGGGTCAAAGGGTATACACAGTTTTATAGCTCTTGGGGCAAAATTCCAAATTGTTCTCCAGAATGGTTGGATCAGTTCACAACTCCACCAGCAGTGCATCAGTGTCCCAATTTTTCCACATCCTCTCCAGCATTTGTCATTTTCCTTTTCTGTCATGTTAGTCAGTCTGGTGGGTATGAGATGGTATCTCAGAGTTTTTAATTTGTATTTCTCAAGTCAATAGTGATATAAAACATTTTTTCATGTGACTCTAGATAGCTTTGATTTAGATAGCCTTTTCAAAGAGGTTAGCCATAGAAGGTAGAAGAGATATAGAACAATTGGAGATAGTAGGCTCATTAGAGGTTTTTTTGAGGATGAGGGAGACATGAACATGTTTATAGGCAGTAGGGAGAGATTGAAAATAAACGATTAAGTGGATTGGGGTGAAAGGAGGCACTCTGTTGATGGAGTTGGAATGGAATAGGATTGCTTGAACAAGTAGAGGGGGTAGCCTTGGTAAGGAGTGAGGCCACTTTTATCTTGTGAGATGGGTAAAAAAAAACTTTTTATGTAGAATAGGTTAGTTATTCTTTAAGAATTAATTGTGAGGACTCCTGTGAATGATTGGTTGATTAAATGTGAGTAACAGTGGCTAGCAACATAGTAGTTTCTCAGTAAATATTAACTGAATTAAATTATAACACTGCATTTTAAAAGTTCATTGAGACCAAAAATGAGACTAACCTCTGACCAGTGATG